TTTTATTCAAAGCTTCCTAACTGGAGACAGTGTTAAATATCACTGTTTGTGTGGGACATACTTTCCCAGTTAATACTTATATATTAATCCTCACCACAGAGTTAAGGAAATGTCTGCTCCTTTGAAAAATAAACACATGAAAAAAATCAATACATTTATTGGCAATGACAAGTGCTTTCAGGCCATTCTTCTTCCTCTTCAGTTATATGCAGTGAATCCTCTCTCAGATCTGAACTCCCAGGTTCTGTGGAAAACGATTTGTATTTGTAAGAAACATTGAAATCCCTAGTGAAGAGTATCAATGAACCATTGCATAGGTAGATCTAAGTGTTTTAATTATTAAAAAACACTTTAATAAGGATCTACTCTATCCATCAAAGTAAATATTAACTGTGCATATTGCCAAACATTTAAAACGGAAATCTCTGCACCAGTGTGATTGTGCTTTTATCTAAGCAGATAAGTTCATGCATTCTTACTTTATATCTTCATTGGCATCTGGCTGTTTGTGCAGGTTTTATTCCATGTCAACAATGGAGCTGGCAGAATAACGGCTACATACGAACCAAGAGGCACAAATAACTTGTGTGATGGGAAATGGCACAAGCTTCAAGCAAACAAAAGCAAACATCACATTTCACTGATAATCGATGGGAATTTGGTTCACACTGATAATCCCTACATCCAGTCAACATCTGCAGATACGAACAATCCCATTTATGTTGGAGGTTATCCTGGTAGGTACAATAATATTTCCCTTCCCTTCTGTCCCTCCTGTGTTCACTCTCACAAGAGTTACTCTTAACACGTGCTTCCTTTTGGTTTGCCATGGGAATTGTGACTATGTACAGCTCAGCTGCTGCTTCATATTCTGCTAGTTTCTATTTTAACTTCAAAAACCCATACAGAGTGGCTTTCTCCTGTTTTTTCCTCTCATCTTCCATTGCTCCCTGGCAAGAACTATTTCTGCAAACTGCCAAGTTATTGCCATGCATGGCTTATGCTTGAAAAAAGCAGTTGCTGTCCATGTTGGGATGTCATAGTTCATCCAAACATGAATGGAACTTGATGCTCCTCAGGTGTTGATTTTGCCTCTCATTTCAGAGGAGGAGAATTTTAATAACCTGGATCTTTGTATTTTTTCAGTTTAGGGAAAATAGATTATACATATTTCATGTTTGTTTTTCAGCTGATGTCAAGCAAAACTGCCTCACAAGCAAGAGCTCATTCCGTGGCTGTTTGAGGAACCTTGTTTTGACCAGAGGCCAACATAGAGAATTGTTTGACTTCAGCAGATCTTTTGACCTGCGTGGAGTGTTTCCTCATTCCTGCCCTGGGGCTGAGCACTGAACTGTAGCAAAGCCCGTCTGGATTGAGAGAGGGATTGGTTTTTTTGTTGTTGATCTGTTATTTTGTATTCTCATTTTGTAATGAAAAGAAGAACTGATAAGAAGCTGCATCTATTTTTCTGGTTGTTTTCCAACTCAGGTCATTTATTTTTTTTAATCAGAAGCTCTATGCCTGCATTTTAACTAAATGGTTTTAAACAACAAATACCTCTACAACAATTTTAATGGCATTAATTGGGTATTTTTCTTTTGGGAATTTTTATTAATCAGTGTTTACAGTATATTTTCTTTTGATTACTTGACAGTATTTCATTTTATTGTGTGTTGGCGGTTTTGTAAGAAGGCAGTAATTTTGGACCACATAATAAAACTACAATAAACTGCATTATTTCATGTAGTTAAGTTGTCCATGTATTTTAGTAAGAAGAAAAAGACCTGGAAGCCTAAGAACTTACAAGTATGCCCACTACACACAAGTTGGAACTAGATAATCTCTAAGGCTTCTTCCAATCTGGGCCATTGTATGACTCTGATTATATGAAATGTAAGTGGACATAATCCAGCAGAGGGAGCAGGAGACTGACTAAAGGCATACTTTTGAAGGTCTCAGATTCAGAGTTTAATGAATATAATTTTCTTAGTTACACTTCAAGGGTAGCTCTGGTTCCTTTTCCTTCTGTCTTACTATCCAGTGCTTCTGACACTCATTACAGATACATTGACTAGATGGATTATGTCCCTGTTTATGCTTTCATGGAATCAGCTTCAGGACAAGCAGCATCTCTGTGGCACAGAGATGCCTGTGAAGTGATGTGTTGCTGAAGAAACAATTTCGGTCTTACTTGGGAATAACTATGTATTTTGACAATGCAAGCTAATGCATCAATCTTTGGAAAACAGTATTTCTTACAGACAATGGGAGGCAGTTTTGAGGCCAGCCTGCAGTTGTATCTTTGTCTTTTCTTACTGTGCCTGCCTCTGTTTCTAAAATGAGTCTTCCAGGAGCTGTTCTTGAGCCAGGTTTGGGGGACATGTGCTCAATCCCAGTCAAGTAAGGACATCCATTCATCAACTGGCCAGATCACTGAGCAGTGACAAATGTGTCCCCTACTTTAATACACATCTGTAATAAACATAGTTCTTTGCAAGTTACTTCCATCTCCCTTTTTTTTTTTCTCTTTGAACTAGCAGTATTTTTTTTGGCTCCTTCCGATTTCATTTGGCCTTACAATGCATTTGTACAGTTTGTTCTAAAGTTAGTTTTTCTCTATGTATTTTGTACTACTTTAAAAAATACTGGCTGCAATGATTCCAAGCAGTGTGTTTTGTACGTTGCAGAGCAGTAGTCCAAGGGAAGAGCTCCTGGAGCAAAGAGATCTTGCACTTCAGCAAGGGTGGCAGAACATGGTGCTCTCTACAGCTGTTGGGGTGCTGTAACAACACAGTTGCTTTGAAAACAGATACACCACTTTCTGCCTTTCTGCCCCCTGCTTCTATCCAAAACACACATGTTTAGATTTGAAGAGCTGGGTTTGTTGTATTTTTTTTTTATTTTTGACATGGATACAATACAGTGGACACACTCTGCTGTACAAATACACATACATGTCGGCGTACTTCAACAAAACACATAACGTAATGAGGATTGTAAGGGAAACGTACATACAAACACTTCACTTTGATTAGTGGCATTGTATTATTTTCCAGAGAAGACACACGTTAATAGAAACCCATTGAAAAATAAAAATGAAACACCGTTTGTTTGTATTCATTGTGTCTTAACCCCAACATCTGATCTTACAAGGTTCACGTTACAAGCATAATTTAGGCAACATGGTTTGGATAAAATTTCATCCATATCCCAAAATATATATTTTACTAGATCTTTTTTTTTTTGTAATTTCAAATCTTGCCTCATACAAAAAGAAATACTGTGTCAGTGTTAATGTGAAATTGATAATAGATTAAGTAGCAAACGTCTAAGCCAAAATATTTTCCTGGAAAATGCAGAGTGAGGTAGTTAATATTATACATGGACACAGACACATTTGCACACACGCACACTTTCTAATGACATTCGCTGCATACACAGGTTAAAGCATTCCAGTCTGATTTGCAACACCTGCTTTTTACAATACTTTCTCTCTATGTGTTGATATGCAAAATGCTGTCCTTGTAGAACCGTGGAGTATATAAATGCTTGAGGCATCTTTGGAATTTCAGTAAATTTCTCCCTGCTTGCTACCACTTTCTTAGTAATAGCTTTCCACGTATGTTACTTTCTGTGAGGTGACAATCCTCTTGCGACTTAGTTTTGAATTCAGCTTCTGTTAGGAGGAACAAAATTCTTCATGCCTCCACCAGCATCTTGAAATACAAGACTTAAAGTTGAGACCTCATATTTCAAAATGCCATTGCGCTTGTTCCATTTGTCTGCATATTAAATCAAGTTAGTGTACCAAAACAATACAAAACAACTTAATGTGAAACAGTATTAACCACTACACATGGTTCATTAGGGCCATTTGTATCAAAAGAGAATTCTGACATTTTGTTTCAGAGACAGGAGGTATTTGGCCACTCTATGTAGAATCTATTTCATCTGCTAATATGCATGTCTTATAAAGTTATAGGCAGTTTTAGCATAAAACAAGAGTTTACAGGGTGGATTTTATTATATCATAATTAACTTTCCTAAGTTGAGAAGTAGTAAAAGTCTTTCAAACCCCCCTTGTATTCTATACAGAATGCAGGGAGACCCATTTCAAAAATAACATTGATGAGGTCCAGAACATGCTGAGGAAGTTGCAGCATGAACACAGGGCTGCTCTGTCCTTTTCCTTGTACAGCCACTGAGAGCACAGAGTGAAGTGAGTGGGAAGGATGGAGGAGGTCAATGTATTTGTCTGAAAGTACTGTAGGAAGTTAGCTCATTTGCTACGACGTTTCAAATTATTTTCTTAATGTTTAGGTTTTCTGTAGTCACCGAATGCTTTTTAGTTGGCTACAGATACAATGACGCTTAGCATTTATATGATTCTCTTTGTATTCGAAGCACTTTCCACATAAAAAGCCTTTGCTGAGTTTGTTCTTCCCAGATGGATGTTTATAACTCCTGATCTGCTCAGGGAATTGTTTGGCTACATCTGAGAGTAGAATTTAACTCGACTAATTCTCTTGCCTTTATATGGAAAGTACTAGTCCTGTTTTACAGCTGACAAACAAGGGCAGCATAAGCAGAAAGAGCTGTCCATTGCCACAGAGGGGACTAAAGGGTATTGGGAGCAAAGCACATGACAAAACGTTTATGCTTAGTCCTATAAACAAGCCACAGATCTACTATCTCTTGTATACTTAAAATAAATAGTTGTCAAAATAAGGAGTGTATTTTATAATACAACTGTCCTGTTTTTTTTCCTGGCTGCAACTAATGTCTCCTTTAGTGTTAAGAAGAAAAAGGAAAAACAAAAGAAAACAAAAAACCCAAACAAACAAGAACAACAACAACCCCCCCCCCAAAAAAAACCCAAAAAAACCCACCCAAACCAAACCAACAAACAAACAAACAAAAAAAAACCAAAAAACAAAAAACCAAAAAAACCGAAAAAAAACAAAACAACCAGAAAGTTTAAAATGTCACTGTTTTAAAGACAATTGTGGTAATTTTTTTATCATTTTTATCAAAAAGCAAAAAGATAAGAAAGAACACAGAATCTGCCCTCTGTAGACATTATTATTTCTGGTGAAGTTACTGATTCAACGCTGATTTCTTTCACTGACCACTAACAATGAAAGTTAACTACCAGAGAACACAATTAACTTGACACATGGCTCTGCTTCTGGTTCAGATCCTCATTGCACAGCTTCAGCAGAGCATCACAAGTTACAGGCTTTCTCTGCAGACTTTATGTTCACCTGGAGGACTTGATTCAGTGTGCTTTTAAATTGCTATGTAATAAACAGAGCTTCTGCCTCATCCCTGTGTCCAGATCAGGAACAAAAATCATTGCTCAGGCTGGGGATGGTTCCATTGTGCAACATCATCATCTAATGATTGGGACATTGCAGTGCAGTTGAAGGCATTGGTTCCCACTTACTGTATATGACACAGATGAAAAAATACTTGCTCATTTCCAGAGATTTGTGATTTCCCTACTCAACAAGCCTCTTTTAATTCAGTGTAGTCCAAGGTGAGATGACTGAGTGAAGAATATCACTTGCTCTTGTGACTAGCTCCAAACCAGACTTCCAAGCTGACATTCCCAATGAAGTTGCAGCCCACTATTCTCTTGTCAGCCTTTGTGTTTGCTTAGATTGCATGCCAGCTGCAATTTGCTATGTATTTGTAAAATCCCAGCACAACTAGGCCTAGATTGGCTATGGTTTTAAAGACCTAATGTGTAAATTATGAAATCCCTTTTCTCATTGGAAGCCCTGTTTCTTCTCCATGCTGTATTATACAAGACCTGAACAAAGATCTCTCTTGTTGATGCAGCTGAAGAGTATAAAAATTGCTTACATATTAAAGCTAAAATAAACAAAATTAAAAGAATTAGGTTACAAATTAGAAACTATAATGCTTAACAAAAAAGGTGTTGACTGTAAGTGGCACCATTAACACATCTAATAGTCTGGCATTACACAGATTTAATTCTGAGAGTATCAAGTAAAAGGCAGAGCTAGGGGTATTTGCCGCTTTTCACCTAGCCTTTGTCTCCTGAAATTTGTGTGACAGGGGAAAGGAGGAGAGTGTGGTTTGTGGCAATACAATTGCACACAGCTGAGGGATCCAAACAGATGAGTTTGGAAGACTGGTAGTGAGATACAGAGTGGTATGTACACTAAACAGTACAGTTATCTATAGTTCCTCCTCCTGCCTCCCTCCTCCAGTATCAGGTACTCATGAGGAGTGACTGAGAGACACAAATATTGCAGTAACACACACTGTATGGGTTTACTTTCAGCAGAAAGGTTTGGATTTCACACAGCTGTCTTGGCACTGCTGCGTGTTGAGCTCCCACCTTCCATGCCTGACAGACACCTTCCCTTCTCCAATGTCTCTGTCATCCTTCTGTGTTATGCTGTGGTCAGTAGTGTTTCATTCATCTGATGCCACTGCATTATTTCCAAAAACTGTTCTAACACCAGGTCAGGAAATGAACACCGTACCTTGGTCTGCCCTCCTCACCTCCTGGGCCAACTGGCACAAGTGTAATCCATATGAAAGCATAACTAACGTGATTTTTTCCGATGGAAAGTACTGTGTGCTAACCATCAGTTGGACAGTACAGTAGGAAGGAACGATGTCCTGTAGCTACCATTTTGTTTTGTCTCTGCAAGAGCTGCTTAAAATGACAGGCATCACTCTTGTCCATTTGGCTTTTGTCCAGTACACTGCTGCCTTCTGCTTCAGCTGGCTTTTGGTTTTATCACCCATTCTGCATGAGGATTTGCACGGTAGACATCTAGCATGAACGCATCTGGATCCAAACAGTGCTGACCTGAAAAGGAAATTGTCAGCCATGAATCATAGGATGTTCTGAGCACACAGGGACAGAGCTCTGTTAAAATGTCCTTGAAAGTTTCTCTGACTTGCACACAGCAAGCCTGGTTTGGTGTGCCCATCCAGCCAAAATGTTGCCTGGGTAAACTTGCCAGTGGGGCTTTGGTAAATTTGCCAGTGATTTTACTCTGTGACAGTCGTGAATTCACTGTCACTTCCAGGCAGGATGTCCTGCATTACACTGAATAATGGGAAGACATTTAGTCAAATGGTGAATATGGTCTCTTTAGAAGCATCAACAACACTGTTAGTGCAAGTGCTACAGTATGGAGGGGTTTTATTTCTTTGGATTTACTTAGCTGGAATTACAGCTGTCTGACTTCTACACTGTTTTTAAATCCTGAAAAAGTAGCTCTGTAAACAATATGTTCCCATACAGTAGGATCTTGTAAAGAATTGCAGGACTCTAATAAGGTTTTTGGGAGTTGCCAATTTGCTGGTTTAAAAAAAAAAATTCTCTGCACTCCAGCTGTTTCATTAGCTGGTGATTGGGAAGTTGTGGCTGCCTTTGCCAGAATGAGGATTTCGTGCCTCTTAGTTGAGTAATAAGGCAATAAATTCTAGAGTTAAGTTGATTTGTTGGACTATATTGCATTTACATGGGGTAATGAAGTCATTTCACTGGTGAGGTTACTTTGCTGTGACACAAGATTATGGTAAAATTTTTGTACGGTTACTTATAAGGTCACTGGGGTCCTAATGATTTTATTCAAGTGAAAGCTATATAAATGAATTAATGCTTAATCAGTGAATTAAAGTACCCTGAAGGATCTAGGACTATAAAAATTATTTTAAATGAAGATGCAAATTAAATGTCTCCGTTTTTTAGAAGACCATTGTAGGAGTATTTGGGATTGTTTCACAAGGCCTTTAGGATTGTTTTTCTCTTTTAGCATAAGTTGGTCATCCTGTTTGGACAGACAAAACAAATCACTAATCCAATTTAGTTTTGTGTTATCATCAGTAATAAATATAGATGTCTGATTGCTACTGAAGTAAGTCTGTGATGTTTTGTAATAACTTTACAGAAACTCTTTAGAGCTGAATCTAGAAGAAATAAGGAATAATCTAATCAGAAAATTCACAACTGACTACAACAGAGCATCTGGAATTTTGGTATGAACAGAGAAAGGAGAGAGCCAGGATTGTGTAATCTCAAATTAAAATATGTTTTTTGACCTTTAGGCCAGAAACTTGTGGGGCAAGCCACTGTTGTTATTATTATAAGATGTGTCACTGCATGAAACAGAAGACAAAAGCCCTATTGTAAGGAATTTGCAATCTACATAAAGCACACAGATTAGTGTGAGTATAGAACACCCATATATGCAGGGGCTGAATTCACAATTAGTGGATTTTTATTTGTGAGAAGTTAACACTTACATACAGTAAGAAAGAAAGAAATCTTGGAAAAAGGATTGACAGCAAGGTGGAATGTGCTTGCAATAGGAAGACTAAGGATTTCTTAACCATGGAAAAATTCTCAGTTACAGAGTGAGAGAGGTAAGCAAAAGGTCAGCTGAATTTGGCAAGACTGTAAGAAGTGCTGCTGACATCCAGCCGCTGGGTTCATTCTCTCCTGTGGGGTGGCCCTCCTGGCACTCTGGAGTTGGAATAAATAATGACATTGATTCTAACAGCTTTTGGGTCAGGCTCCTTTCCTCCAAATGGACTGGAGGGTAGGAGAGAACCAGCTGTGTCAAAACAGTGCTGCCCTGAGGTGTTGTAGGAGGTTAAGGACATTCAGAATTAATTTTCAAAATTTAGACCTACCTATATTTCCTCCAATTTCATGTAAACTTTGGATCTGGCCTCTCATGTTCTGTGATGATCCATGGCTAGGATGGAAAAAAACCTTTCAGTTTGTCTTTCTGTTATAACCACTGCCTTATCACCCATCATCTATGGTAAACTAAAGTTTGACATTTTTTTCCCTGTTTAACTGCCTTAGCAAAACCCACAGCTTCTGCCAAATGGACCACTGCAGAATAATGAATCTGCTACAGAGGTAGATTACTGCATCACAGTCAACTAAACCTTCTATATTATTTATTTTATATTATCTATTCAAAGAATAGAATTATGTAGTAACATGGGAAGAACTTTGCAGAAAAGACTTTCAGACACAATTTACCATTTCCCATAACTGTTAATAATTATTACCTTACAGAAATAAAAACATTCTAGACTTATAGATAGATGTAAAACAATCTCTTTAGGTTCTCTATGTGGCAAGTATACAAAATATATGTTTAATGTACATTTTTCATAGTGGTCTACTAAAGGGAGGGCAAATTGATTCTGTATAGGAGCCAATTATTAAGTAAAATAAAAAGAGTAAGATAAGTGGTTAAAATTTCTTTAACCAACATAACCATAAATTAGCAATTTTAGACTAGTAAAAGAGTTCTTGTAACGCAATGAATCTTTGAAGAGGAAACAATTACTAATTTATAGTTCTGACATTGTTGTTCAGAAAAACAAAATGCTCTGCTTTACTCACCTGTTTTCACAGTGGAACCGAGCCAGGATGTCTTTGGCTTTTGTTTGGCTGTTGAGTTGAATTGCCATAGAGACTTTTGAATGCAGTGGAGCATAAACTCTGATCACCCCCTCGGGTATGTCAGACTGCAAGTATGGAGGAAAAGTGACAGCTCCCTAAAATCAATATTCAATAGAGTAAGTCTAAGGCAAATATTGCTCTAGCTCAATTTGGAAGCAGTTCTACAACCTCATTTGAGGTTGCCTGCAAAGCTCACTGTCCTGCATTCTCTTGGCTATTCAAACGACATTTACAGTCATACAAATGCAAATCTGTAGACACAAATCATATACAACACAAAGACACAAATTCTTTGGTATGTAGCACATAAATGCACACAAGGTAAAGTCCTCGAATTGTAACTTTAACTTATTTCTGTAAACATTGGTCACTGAACTGTTTGTTTGAAAACACAAAAATTATTAAGAATATCTGCTCTTCCTTCTAAAGATGAAATTCTCCTGAGGCATAAAGATCCAGTTCTCTCTTTCTGCTTCCTATATCTTCAATTAGATTGAAGTGAGTGGACACTAAAACATCAAGTACCATATGGCTTCTGTTAATTTGAAATTTGACCTTGTGTAGGGTTCAAATGATCATCTATGAAGTTTATGCACTCTTCCATGATTAATGGTGGATAAATCAATTAGCAAGGTTTGCATTCCAGTTCTAATCCAGTTAATACCATGCTGACCAGAACACAATAGTCTCTCCAGTCTCTGTGTAATTTAGAACATCTGAGACCTGGGGACTGTGTTAAGTGCTCTCAACATTAAACTCAGTTATCCAAACAGAGTTTGCCTCCAATTTACCCTTCATATTTCAGCTCCTTGTCATGTCTACCCTCATTTTTATTAGATGTAAAGCCAATTACTCCAATCAATGGACTTGTCTTCCCAAAGGTGCAATGACTTCAGTAATTGACTCTCCTCAGAGAAGTCTATCTGTGTTCATCCCAGGCTGAATTTAACTTTGCAGCACAGTAGTCTAGACTGCCATTTAAAATAAACATCTCTTTCTCCATCTGCAGCACCAATGTATGTCCTACCCTACATAAAATACTTCCGTCAGTGCTGGCAATTTCTTGAGAAAGGTGAATTAGAATCGATTCACCACTCATATATAACATTATTTTTCTGCTTTTCCCCCATACATTACCTTCTGCATTTTCTCTTGTCTGTACTAGGTGGCTCATTCTCTATGTCTCATAATCTTGCAATATCATTCCTTCCTAACTGGTCTTTTCTTTTGTTCTTCAAGACTATTCTTCAACAACTATAGAGTCCTTTACCATTTTCTTGATTAGTTCTCTTACAATTCACCTGTCTTCATTCTTTCAAACATTCATGGAAGACTCTAAATACTTCCTCTTCATGTTATTAAAGGTAGTTACTACATGGAAGTGCATGTAAGTTGCTATAGGGACTGTGTATGTTGTTCATGGAGACATGACATGTCTTGTTGCCCAAATTGTATATTGCACCTAATATGTAAAATAATTTTAGTTGCCTATCAAAGCAGCATACCCCAAGTAAGTTTCTAGGCAGTAGATAAAAGTTGGTGGCTTTAAGACCTTCAAATAAAGGTTTTTCTATCAGATTTTCTTAAGTCAAAACTGCTTCTGGAGCCCTGGAAATCCTCAAAAGTATCCACCTCTCTCCTCCGACTATAGAGGGAATAACAACATAATCTACTTCATTGGGCACTTAACATTTAGTCACAGTTTAGGTATCTATGATAGGCGAACTGAATTTTCTCTCTGCTTACAAAGTCATTGCAAAGCTCTAAGACTAAAGCTTGCAAGGAGAATATCAAGTGGACTGTACCAGGACATGGATAAATGCAATTAATCCTAATATGGACCATCCTACTACTCAGCTACAGATACGCGTATTTGTTGAATATCTATAAATCACTGCTGTCAGGGACAGTCCACATATAACCATTTCTTACAAAACAGGTTAAAATCCAGCTTGGCAGCTTTGGCTGCTGGAAATCATTCTGCCTTCCTTACGTTTTCTCAATCAATTCCCAAAACTTTGTCTTATAAGAGTGTTGAACTGGGAAGCGCACCTTCCAAGATAACTCTCAAATCAGCTTATTTTGTATGGCAAAATTTCCTCCCCACTCCCAGAATATTTCATGAGATAAAGGAGGAAGGCTGTTTAAAGCTGCCCTTGAAACGTGTATCATTTTATCACACCTCTGGCCTTTCAGGTCTCTCCCGTTCCATGGTCTTTCTCCTCAGAAGTTTTCTCACTCCTTTGTCAAACATCAGCTGCCTCTTGCTGTTGTTCATTGCTGCCTCGTTCATTTTTCTCACTTGGGAAATCAGGAAGGATGGGACCTAGATAGAGGAAACCAGATCTGAGAATATACAGTAATTTTTTCCCAATGTGTTGGGTCTTTTGGAGGGCACCAAATTTTAAGCAGCAGAAACTCTGTTTATACATGCAATCAGTAGCTTCCTCTAACAACCTACAGTTATTCCTTTGGTGAAACTGTATTTCATCTTTCACGTCATATGAAACTCTGAAGTGATGTTTGCAGCTGCAGGAACTTTATTAGGAGGTAGTCTTTGCAATCCCCATTATACTCTCCCTCTGTTATGAACAAACAATGTGAGACTGTCAATATCTTCAGGCCAGCCTTCAAAAGCCCAGAAAGTTGCACACACTTTTGTCCCATTTTACTGTGGGCTACACTTTAAACAGACATCTAATCACATTCAAGTTTAGACATATCACCTACACATCCAGATTAAATAATTCTTCTATGCATCACTCTGTATAAACAATGGTGTGGGAGAGGTACTTCCAGAAAGCAATTGATGCTAAAATGGATGTCTTAGATAACTAAGGTAGCTCTCAATCTAGGAATATCTGTCAGAGTGCCTCCTTCTAGATATGGAAGACTCCAGTCAGTTTCCAAAGAAACTGCTTCTCCTTGGAAGGTCAGTTTATTCTGATTTCTGCATATCTCCTGCATATAGCAAAATACTGCACTGCAGTGGAACCATAAAGGGGCCCCAGCCCTACTCACTGTCCACAGGATGTCCTGGTACCGGATTAAAAGCCGCACAATGTGTGCCGTGGTGGCGGCTGCTTGCATCTCTTGCTGGTTTGCACGCTTCCCTTTGTAGATGAAGAGGTTTGGTGCAACAATCATAGACACGTTCCACAAATTCATCTTGTTTTTCCCTTCATTAGCAACCACCTTCTTCAGGAACTGAAGAAAAGCCTGGAAAAAAAACCCCCAAACTTGTTTAATCTCAGGAAATAATTTACATTTGAAATGCAGCATTTTTAAATGCACATGTCTAGCTGCTATATTTCCACTTGGAGGTGAAATTTAGTGGTTTTATCATTGTATTTATATTACTCTGATATTTATTGTTACAACAACCTGTGTCAACCACCGAGGAATAGCTAATGTTATCAAAATACACATTAATAAATTACCTATCACTTAGAGCATAGTCCCAAATTTATAAGGCAAATACAGTGTCTACACTAAGGCTCTGAATCCTATAGTAGAGCTAAGGTGTACATGTGTTGTGAGGGAATAGTTACTTTCTGCACAGATTACCAAGTGTCCATTTTGATGTATCTGGCCGATGCTTTTAATTGTCACTTGAGGTGATTGGTGTCTCTTCAAATCTGCACCAGTCACACAGGTAATACAACCTGAAATTTCTGCCAGCACTCCCCAAACTTTTATTCTGGGATAACAGAAGCAAGAAGAGCTAAGTGGTTGCTCATTAATGTTACTTCTCCACATGCTTGGCAGAGGCAAAGGAAATTAATTTCCTCTTTTGGGTAGTTTATTCAGAATTTTGCTTGAATGATTAAATAGCACAGACTGCAGCTGTGGTTAGAGTTGGGGTCTACCAATGAGTCCTTCTGCAACACTGTTCTGTTTTCAGCTGGAATAGAGTTAATTTTCTTCCTGTATCTTGTACAGGGCTGTGTTTTGGATTTAGGATAAGAATAATGTTGATAACACACTCATGTTTTAGTTGTTGCTAGGCAGTGTTTACACTTAGTCAAGTGTAATCTTTAGCTTCTCATGCTGCCCTGCCAGCAAGGGCGCTGGGGCTGCACAAGGACTTGGGAGGGGACACAGGCTGGACAGCTGACTCCCAAGGGATATTCCATACCCTATGGCATTGTGCTCAGGATCTGAACTGTGGGGAAAACTGGTCTGGGCCCACTGCTCAAGAACTGGCTGGGCATCAGTCAGTGAGTGGTGAACAACTGTACTGTACACCATTTGTTTTGTGTGTTCTAATTAATTAATCATTATTTTCCCATTCATTTCTGTCCTCTTAATCTGTTACTGTCTCAACCCATGAATTTCATTTTTCATTTTTTTAAAAAACTTTCTCACTCATCTCACTGGGAGTGGGGAGGAGTGAAGGAATGGATGTGGTGGTGTGCTGGCTTTAGATGGGCTAGAGTTAATTTTCGTCATGATGACTGGTATGGGATTATGTTTGGGACTTGTGCTGTACACAGTGTTAATAATATAGATAATATAGATAATATAGATTTTTTTTTTGTTATTACTGGGCAGGCCTTGCTTAGAGCCTTGCAAGGCCTTTTCCTACTGCCCAATGCTGAGGTGTAAGAGAAATTGGGAGGAAACTCGGCCAGGACAGGTGACCAAAGGGATATTCCAGACCATGTGACATTATGTTCAGTATAAAAAGGTGGGAGGAAGATGAAAGAAGGGGATTAAACCATGACAGGTATTAGCTGACTTGGTTAAACCACAAAAATCACACTATTAAAGCCACTCTCTTTGTACCCTGATATAGCAATTAAAACATTTTTACGAACCCAAGAATTACAAAGTAGAAACTGTGTTGGAGAAGTTTCTAAAATCTCATTATAGACAAGAGAGTGGAGCTGTGTAGAGAGTTTTGTCATCACTTCTATCTTCGTACAGAAGCCTAATTAATAATAAAGTAATAATGAAGATTAATTCTCTAGCATGTGTTTTACATATGCAGCTCTGTACCTAAATGAACTTCAGTGGCAGAAACAACCCCCATTCTTTAGAGAGCACTAGTAGACCTCCAGGCGCTTTGAAGACAGCTGTTGTTCTTATCCCTTGTTACTGCATTCATAAATAGAGGTAAAGAAGGCACTTGAACTCATAAAGTTGTATCTAAACTGACTAGTGAAAGGCTTTCAGAGGTGTGAGACCTGCATGGTCTCATCACCTGATGAGCTGGGGACCTGACAAAATATCTGGAAGTTCCCAGGAAGTGGTTCACTCAGGTTTCCTTGATGTAGAAACAGGCCCAAAGATACAACCAGCATCTCTTAGGGTCAGGACATAGCTGCAGTCAGATCTGGGACCTCTCAAGCATCCAGAATTCTTGTAGCCACTGTTTGTTTCAGGAAATAGTGCGTGGGGGTGGGCATGGGTTTGTAAGGCAAGCCAGCTGAGGGTGAGCTCCTGACATCTGTGGTACAGATGCCCTTCCAGTACCAGGAATGCATTAGGCAAGCTTCTAGAGGGCAGCTCCTCTTTTAAATTAATCCTGGAGAATTTCAGTTATACAGAAAATACAAAAACTGGACCTCCTTTGTCCAAACTAAGCGAGGAATATGCCTCTTTGAAATGAGTGCTCCATAATAATGATGCCTGAGATCCAGCAGTTGGATACCCCCAGTAACTATTTAATTGCTTGTAAAAGAAATGACAGCCAGGAAATTTGAACATCTTTTCAATGAAATCATCAGTAACGCAGATTAATACTTTCCTGGTGTAGCATCTGAAAAAAAATGAGTCTCTCAATTAAAAGTCAAAAGCACCACAGATGTCAGGTGATAGCAGATGAAGAACTTACCCTGGCTGTGTCTCTGTTGGCCTCGGGCATCAGCATGATCAACAGATGCAAAGCTTGTAGCTGTAACTTGATCTTGGAGATTTCTGAGGACATGAATAATTAATGCTTTTGAAACCCCAACTACAATTGGTTTGTTCTAAAAACCTTGTGTGTCAGCAATTCTAGAAATACCAACTAGTGCCTGGTTGAGACTAGCATGCTTAGGTGTTGATTAACCATATACTTTTCCTCAAATATAAAATCACCTTAATGAGTGGGCTTTTCCTCATCATCTTGGTTCTTTGTCACACAGGGACACAAGGCGCTGTAAAACTCTATCTACATAGTAACAATCCAGTATTTTTTAGTACTAGCTAGTTTCCCTTAGATATCTGTGTATTTGTTGTAGGGAATGAAGTCACTTCATTCTGCACAGACATCTCCTGTTCAGTCTTCTCCAAACTGCTGAGCTGTTTTAACTGCATGCAGCCTGGGATTCACAAGGAGCACATTCAGGTGTGTGAAGTTTATGGGAAGAGGTCACCTCCTTCTGCAATTTAAGCTACTCATGGAGACACTGAAAGCATGACTGCAACTTTATGTAAAGATCCTCAGCTTTCTGTACCAATTTGCTAATAAATTCACCATCCTGAGACTTTCAGTCTGTCCTAGCTCAAGTGACTTTACAGTGAAGTCATTGGTATGGCAAGGTATAATTGCATTCCTCCTGGAAGAGAAATGAACAAAATGTACTGAGATTGAGAGGGTGTATGTACACTGAAAACAAAGCTCAGCTGCATTTCTGCACTCACACATATCTCTGTACCAATGGTCTGACCTCAACATAAACTTCAACAGAAGTTGGTCCAGTAAATAAAGGACAGTGATTTGAGTTTACCTTGCAGAAATTTTCATTGTGAAACCTATGGTTAATGTGAATCAGTCTTTATATGAAAGTCACTGTTTACTCACAGGTTTCAAATTTTACATTAAACTGTTATTTTGTTCACATAACAAGCCTGTGCTATTAGCTGAATGCAGACACCTTTCTCCTTTGAAAACAAAATCTTGCAGAAAATTAAAATGTTTAGGCAAAGCACTGGGTTTGCTTTTCTCTCTGCTTCAGAGAGAAAAAAAATTACACGATTTTTCTCCATATACTTCAGAGAGAGAAAAAAACGTAATGTCTACTCTTGCATTTAATCATATTTTCAGTCCATACTAGCTCCATTTCCACGTACTTTCTACTAGTGTGATGAATGCAGGCAAATATTCTACTGTGAAGAGTGGGCTTGGGAGTTCTCTTATAAACATTTTCAGCAGTCCCGCTGCATCGTTATTTCGTACTTGGTCCCAGTCAAAAGTGTCTTCATAAAATTTTGCCTCAAGTTCTTGATGAAGATTCTGAAAGATAAAAGAAACGTTTGGCCTTCAATCATTGCTGCTGATCCAGCAGTCTGTGATCACTTCAGAAATCCCATTACAAGCAGCAGGCCAGTGTGTACATCCCTTGAATTAAAGCAGCCCTAAACCAGTGACAGCCTAGGCACAGCCATGTGGAGCTCAGAGCAGGTTAACAAGTCAAGTTCCTGCAGATATTTGGCAACCCAGGCTAAGTGTGGTTTGCTATAGCTAGATTTCTGCCAGTGAACAATTTGAACCATCTTTAAACAAGGCAATTTTGTGCAATGTCTTAGAACTAGTAACAGAAATCTCAGCACAGTTGTTCTTTTTGTTTAAAACACTCTCTAGAGGTTTTGACCCTTAAGTCACAAGGGAGTGGTGTTTCTTCCTCACTGCCAGTGAACTTGCTAGATAGTCTGAATCCATGGGCCTTGAGCAAATGGCTTAAAATTCAGGTCTTCCCATCTTTGAAAGGAACTTTTATATTAGGATAATTATAGTTAGATTTGGTCAAATTGTAGAAAAATAAGATACAAAACCATTACCGTCAGAAATACCTTAATGAATAAAAAAGAATCCCCAAACCCCTGAAAACACAGGAGAAGTTTAACATAGAATTGATGATGATACCATTTTGGGTTTTCATTTAATCCCCTTGTTCTCCAATGGCAGCATCCTGCTCCATAACAGAGGTCAGTTTTATTCTGGAGGGTCACTAGTCAGTGTTCAAAACACATGTTAAAGGGAAATACTCAGCAAGACTCCTAATAGGAAAAGGATTTGGCTTCAAACCCAGAATCAAAATGCATTCAAAACCCATTTGAATAATGTGTTTTGGAAAATGCAAGCTCCTCAAAATTTTTTGAGTTAAAAAGATTGAAGGACAGTATTTTAGTGTAAGGATATCTATAAATAATGCAGCTTTCACAATTATTAGTGGCCAAACACTGTCCTATCCATAGGAAGTTTGCTGCTGCTTTTTATGAGACCATTTATGACAAAATATATCTGTAGCAAATATTTGGTTTCAGATCACGATTTTGTCAGATGTACTTTAATATTATGAAAAAAGTTCAGTCCATTCAGGCAGAAAAGCTTTTAAAAATGAATTCTGTTTGCCACGTCTCACATGAATGGAAGGAAATTACATATCAAGTACAGTCACACATAATGAAGTAGAATGGTTGCACAAACGGAAGTAGAAAGTCATTCAGGATTTGGCATAAAATGTTACAGTCTCACTTTTACTCGCACATTTTACTGGTTTTAATCTGGGCTATCTCAGCTTCCTCTGTATTCACATCCTTTGCACATAATCAATACAAACACTTAGATTGAATTCTCTACTGTAACTGACTGGAAATGTGGAACAGAAATCCTCACCTCATCAAAAGCACAAGAGGACCAAATTCTACTCCACATTTTTCTGCTGAGAAATAGAATGCAAGATTTTGGAAACACAAACATTTTTTGTATATGTACTCATATATATACACTTATATATATCTCTTCACACAGGTAAGCATATGTTTTATACACTCAATTCCTTCCCTCCCCTGCCTCGTATACATGTATCTATGTATGCATCTAATACGTTTAAAATATGTGCTGCAATCTTATTAAACATGATTAATCCTTCACTGGACTATCATACAGTTTTGGTTCACTGGAGCTTTTGTTACAGACAAAAACTTGTATTAATTTCTTCTATTCTTTGTTTTATAGAAGAGTAACCTTTAATCATTTCCACATGCCTTTTCTTTCTCCAAACGAGACTGAAATAAAGTTGGAATGCCCTCAAGTCCTAATGTCATAATAATGTATGAAGGCTTTTGAAGGATGAAATCTGGATCTGCTTTGAAAAAATCTCTCTCTTGCTCGTTGGTTTGTTGGGCAGACTCAAATGAAACCAAAACTCAAATAATTTAAAACTTTCATATGGGCAGTTTAACTTACCACATAGTATAGAGGAGTTGCATATGAAGTCATATCTCATAGCAGCTCCCAGGACACAGGGTATGAAAAAAAAATGGAAATAATTGAATTAGAGCACAGCCCTGCTGTGTAATCTCTATGGAAAGGCTAGAAAATTTTGAGATTGTGTGAAATAACATTCAAGCATTTGTATGAAAAAGATGAGGAAGCTGAAAAGTACAGAGCAAGTTAGGAGCTCCCTTCTGCAAGATGTGGCACTTTTCAAGGCTCTGGGTACTTTCAGCAATGCACAGAGTCAAAGGAGCTGGGATGATGCTGCCTCTCTTTGGTGTGTTTCATGTAATGCTGCTTTTTCTTATTCAGCCATTTCTTTATGATCCCCAGCTCAGTATTTAGCAATCCCCAACATTTGTGTGGTTGACACAATGTTGAGACTTCCTACCTCAGAGCACAAAGTAGTACTCAGAACACTACGCAGAACACTAACTTCCTTGAGGATGAAAAAGGGGGAGTTGGATGCTCCCTCAATGCTGTAAGGTGCTGCTTAAATCAGATAAAAAAAAAAAAAGCCCAAGGAAAAAAAAAGCAAAAATCTGGGAAAGAGATAGACCCTACTAAGCCCAGGAAAAAACCCAACCAAACAAAAAACTGCCTTGTTTTTCTAATCTGCCTCCTCCAGCTCCTGAAATGAAGTTGGTCTGAAGAAACAATTGCAAATATTACTGGCCCACAGTGCCAGGTTATTGGGTGCCAATTATACTGTGCTCATAGCCCACAAATAGCCTGTGAAAATGCAGTACTTCAGGCTGCCAGCAGTGAACAGAGGCCAAATTTCTCTCACTTGGATCATGAAATTGCAAGATCACAGGCGATAAATGAAAAATAAAATGACACAGAGGTTAAAATGACATAGAATAAGATCTTTATCTGATGTTCACTCAGTTTAGGAACTCTGCATTTCTGAAATAAATTAAAACAGAGATAAGATCACAGCAATTTTGGGTGACAGAGATAAACTGAAAGGATGTCTCAAAGTTTTGTGGAGAAAAATCGCATTCAGCATCAAGGCTGTGCTTTATATAGAACATTAACAAAAGCAAAGTAATAGACCAAATGGTCTGTGATTTATTGGTTCCCAGGAACTAGTATGACCTTTCACTGGCAGGAGTAGGAATGCTGAGCTACACAGATCAGTATTTATGTGCAGTCTGAATTTGTGTGTATGCTGTATTATTTTACATAGAGTCTGTGGTCCAGAAGACAGAAAACTGGCTTGAGTGTATACCTTGACTCTGGAGGCTGATCCAGGAACCCGTAGAATTCCTTCTGTTTCCAAACCTGTTTCCTCAAGCTTGAGTAGCAGCTAAAAGAAGAGAGAAAAAAAATCCAGGAAAATATTCAGAACCGCTTAAGAATACTCCTGACTTTGTTTTCAATCTAGGTATCCTTGAAACTGATCTGAAAATGATACATTTCTATGGAATCAGCTAATGAAATCCAGCCAGCTCATGTAAATAAATCTGCCTAATTTTTCTCAATAGTCCTGATCTTGAAGTAAGAAGTATGCAGAGCATAGAAAACTGCTAATGCAATAGGTCCCTCTGTCCTTGACTTGAGAGTTGGCACAGCTATAGAACAATTGACACATAAATGTATTAATGAAACAGCAGATATACTCTAACACAATGGTGTTTTGAAGGAAAAATAACCTCTGAGAAATGTTTAAGTGTGCCCCAAGGAACACAATGGAAAAGTGTATAGATAACATAGGTTTTTTTGGAACTGATAACTCAGATTAGAAAATGATCTCAGGATATTTTATTTTGAAATTTCTGTGAACAGAGAACTAAAATTTCCACTCCAATTGGATATTAAAAAAAAAAAAAAAAGATAAAAAATGTTTTGATTTTACATAATTTTGAACATTGAGGAAAAAAATAATTTTCCAGCATTTAATCATACAGGTCTGGATTTTCACCACCAGATCTGCTTCCTGCCCTAACCTTGATTCTTGTAATTTCCTATGTTATCTTGATAGGGAAGCAGTGGAGCTAATTGCAAAGTCATGTAAATGTTCAAGTTGTGTCAGTCTTTCCCCTGATGCTTCCCAACACTTCTTTTATCAGGATTTACAGGGAAATCTGTTGCCATTTCAGATCTGTGTAAATCTGTGCAATTGCACATGTACTTGTGTCTGTGTACCTGCCTCCAGGACATCCCCAGGATATCCCTGTCTGGCCAAATGTCTCATTTAAATACCCTTGTCTTGTCATACACACCTCAATGAGAAGACGCCACTTCTATTCTGGAAACAGTAGCTAAGTAATACCTATGGTCTGAATTAATATGAAATTAAAACTCCTGAGACAACTCATCTCTGCCACTTCTGCACACACATAATTTTGCTTGGCTCTCTATTTTAATGAAAAAGAGAAACAGAAAGACATTTTTTTCCAGAAGTTTCCTGTGTAGTATCACATAATTACAAAAATCAAAAAAGGGTCCTCATCACGGATAAAAAACTAAAAAAGGAGCAGATTTTCTCTCCTTGTCATGAAGTTTTCAAACCATAATATTCAGTCAGACAGTCTGTAGACACCTGCCAGTCTGTAACGCCTGCCAGAAACTTCTCTTATCTGATGACTCTTTTAGAGCGTCGATGCAAATGGTGGAAAAGCAAATCCTAGTGGCCAAGCAGGCCAGGTGATACTCACTTTTTGGAAGATCAGGGGCACTTTTACTCCAGGAACCTTCTTTTGATCATTCTCCAGCAGTACGGTGAGAGGGACCCCAAAAAGACCATTCTCTTAAAAACAATAATAACAACAAAATGTGAAAACGAGGAAACACAGCCTCTTCTTTCAGAGCTGATGGGGCTGAGGGTGACAGCACAGGGGATGCCACACACGGTACCTCGTCCCCGCACCCTGTCCACACGGTTCCTCTTCAGCTCCACGCCCAGCGCGTCGTAGAAGGCCGTGAGCTCGATCAGGGAGAGGTAGCGGATCTTCTTCATGTCCTCGGGAGAGAGGTCCCCAACCTCTGTCAGGCCAAAACGGCTCTTCCGAACTATGAATTTCTGCAGCAGAGATGGGGCGCGTCTTTATTTGCACAAAAGTTACAGGAAGTGAATTTTTGTTTTAAAAGCGATGAGCGTATGTGATTGTTTGGGGGGATGGATAACAACAGACACACTGCAACCCTGCAGATTGGCCTGGTATGGTCACATAGCTTGCATCCACCTGAACATAAAATCGAGCATTTTGCTCACCATGCACCCTTGCAGTTTGACTGGGAAGGGATGCTGGAGCATCCCACTGCCTATACTTCAGCTGGGACAAATGAGATATGCTCTTCTTTAAAAGTTTTGCCCAGTTTCAGCAGGATGCAGCATTTTGCTCTGCTTCTGCCTTCCCCAAAACATCTTTGAATGCTGTTGAAGTGGCTGACACAGTTAATCACGGATATGTTTCTATATCAATTTTGTGTGTATAATGAATCCATGCCTGCTTTTCATAATGCTATTCATTTATGAGGTCTTAGAGGGGAGCTCAAACTAAAGATCTGAGGAAAAGCCCAGAAGCAAAATTGATTAATCCAGAAGCCAACCTGCCAACTTAGTGGTATTTTTTTATTACTCAAGAAAGCTTAGAAGCTTAGGACTCACAGAAGCTAACAAATAATTTATTCAAGTAGACTTGAACTAAATGAGACAGAGTCATTTCGGAGCATGTGAAGATGTCGACATATTTTAGAAACTGCAGTGTCATGGACCAGAGCCAGGAATGTCACGTCATGACACATGCATTTATAAAAATGCCAAAAAGAACAAACGCCCATCAGTTTCTGACATAACTGTTAGACATAATATTAAACAACGAAGTCATACAAAAAAACATGCCTTTCAAAGAAGTGTGGATCTTTGGCACTGTATGTCTATTTTTAATTTATTGTAACTTAAACCAGGAATTGTTAGTCAGAGGCATAAATAAATAGTACAACAAACCATCTCCTTCCTTTAGGGAACTGAGTGAAAACCCAGCCTCTAGTAATGTTTTGCTTCTGGAGATTTCAGCTCAGTCCTTCTTTTTTTTTTAAAACAAATTTGGACTCAAAAGGTTTAATCCATCTTTAAATTAAGCCAGTCAAACTGATTAAGAAAAAGGTGAACAAGAAAAAATCCCACTAAACCAAATCAAAGCAAAAATTAAACTTACACCAGATTTCAAAAAGAAGAGAGTACAAAGGACACCTAGATTATGCAGTTTAGGACTTCATCAATTACACTGTGTATGGTCTTTCAATGAGGGTTAACAATACGAAACATAAAATACTAAAGAATATCTACACATTTTGGATCTAGTGATGCAAAAAGGGCAAAAGCAGTAAAAACGTAATAAATTACCTTGAAAAAAAAAGAAAAAAACCCAGACTGTATTTTCTGAGGGGAAAGAGAAAAGAATTCTAAATACTGCAAAACTGATTAAAAAGGGTAGTACAAAGATTTTCCACAGTGTCAGTTTGACTCCTAAGGGTCACTATGATGTGATGCTGTGGTTAATACAAACTTTGGGGCTGGCTGTCTTTCTCTGTCTTGTGTCACAATTTTCCAGGGTTTTTTTCTTACACTGGTGTAATATGCAGGTTTGAAGGAGTCTGTGTTATCCCGAAATTAGATTACTAATGTTTTGGCTAAGGATCATGTCTGATATTTTGTGGTGTTGCTTCTATGTGGAGCTGGGCAGTGTACTCAGATTTGCAGTTCTGTAATAGCTTCGACTAAGTCACATGGATCATGGTCCCACACTGGAGAAATCACATGTACTTTGGGGAAATCCCTATGCTCCTGGGGATGTTGAGTTGACTCTTGTAGGAGTCAGGGGACTCTCTGCTGCAGGGAACATGGTATTTTATGATATATAATATCACTCTGTGCAGCTGTGTACACATCATCAGTGAAGTTGGCTATGTTGTCAGACCTGCCCTGGAGAAAGTGTGATGTTGCATAGCCTCCAGTGCAGCCCCATTGTGCCATTGTGGGGAAGGAGGGACAGTCCTGAATGTCAGCGACTGGCTGCTCAGTGTAACAGAGCGAGAGGTGATTTCTCCACTGAGGCCCATTATGGTCTGATTCATCATGGGAAAAAACCAAATACCATGAGAGGCAACAGATGAAGTAAGGGACAGGCCACCATCAACAGCTATGATTGTTGGCTTTATTCAGAAACGCTCTGCAATGACCTGGCACGTTTCTTGTGTGGTCTTCTGAGCTGACAAAATTATGTCCTGCATGCAGAGCAGTTCAACTCCAGCACAATACCAGCATTTTCTAAAGCTTATCAATTATGAATCCACAGATCCATGATATTCAATATGGCATCTTCTCTTCCCTCTTTGTCTTCAGTTTCCCTGCTCCATCAACTGGGAATTGTCTGTGCTGTTGCAGAGAACAATTTGTGAGTGTGCATGTGTTGTAGTAAAGGCCAAAATCATGAGTGCAGAGATACCCTTACTCTCCAAAGGACATCAAGTTATCCCCTCAAAAAAAATCCCTAAACAACCAAAGACACACACACACGAAAAAAAAAGCACAGGGATTTCACATAAGGTATGTAATCTATTTGGTGTCTTATCATTGGACATAGAAGCTTACTTCAGCATCTCAGCTTCTTCTTCCTTGATGGAATCTGAGATGGACAACTGACCAATTCTCAGATAATTCAATGTCTGTATGGATTGTAACAATTTCTGATTTGTTTGGGACCTCAGGATATCATAACATTCAGGAAATTTTCCCAAGTACTTTACAGCAATTTCACACATGTCACTAATGAGGTGGTATTTGAAGCACTAAATTAATGCTCCAGTTTTCAGTGATGGAAGCTGTAGGGCTGATATAAATAGAAAATTCATTTCCATGACTTAATGAAATAATTCCAGATAATAACACAACTGTATGTCTGGTTGGATGATATGGCAAACTTTTACTGAACAATTAATGTAGTATTTCCTATAGTGTGATTGCACTCAATACTGACTGGAAACAGCCAGTACTGATGCAGGACTAAGGTTTGCTTTCCTCCCTTCATCTGCAAAGCAATTTTAAATCCATATGTTAACAAAGGCAGATAATCTGTAGGGGGGAAATGCAGGAAAGTAGACCAGCAACAAAAATGACTGTTAGTTTTAATGACAATAAGCAGTTTTTATTTCTGTGTGAAAAAATTGTGGATTATACAGTATTTGTGGACTGAGCTACACACACTCATCTGGGTGCACGTGTTCATGATGGGTACAAGTAAAAACCTGGCTTGGTTATGCATATTAACTCTGGGAATCAATCACAGGCAGTGGGCAGGCACACTGAGAAGTCTTTACAAAGCACTCACTGCAAAGGCCAGATCGTGTATCTTAACAGTTTCCAGTGTCCTGGGGATATAAAGCAGGAAATTGCCGTGGTAAAGAAAACAAAAAAGAAATACACGGAGAAGAAACTTACTGGCAAAGCCGAGTCTTCCTTTTTGAACCTCTGGTTTTTTGGCCACTCTTGGGTTTTTGGAAGGACTGTAATGGATTCTGAGAAAGAGACATCATAGGAAAGCTCTTCTGTTATGGATGGGCTGCCTTTATCTATTCCACAGTCTAGACAGCTCTTAGCTGAAAATAAGGGAAATTATATATGAATGATGGATTGCGTTTAGTACAGAGACATTAAAAAATTGAACCAAGATGACAAAATTCTTGAGAAAGTCATAAAGGAAGTGCTTCAAAGAGGAATTTCAGTGCAAACCACAGCATGTTCCTGTTTTGTCTTGAGGAAATAACCCCTTAGAAATAAAATTCCTATTTTTGTTTTAGATTATTTAACTTGTTGGCTTCTGTGAGAAAGATAGTCAAGCTGGAACTTCCTGCTTATGAGGAATTACCAAGTTTTTTTACTCCATCCTTCTCTTCCCAGGCCAGCAAACTGTGGTGGCACTTGTCAAATGAACAATTAAAAATAAAAGGTCTTGACAGAAAAATGTTGTTGACATAGTTTCTCAGCTTACTGATGACTTATTTACAATCCCAAGACACTGTGCATATATTTTATACGGTCACATACACATATTTTTCATTGTTGATAATTTAGGTGTATAGCACCATAACAGGACAGGATGTACAATATTCCAGTTTAAAAAACACTATATCTACTGGAATTTCTAGTAGATATTGTGAAATGACTTATTGCTCTTCTCTAAAATTTAATCATCTCCTTAAATTATTGGATGTCACAGGAAAACTTTTGAATCAGTACAATCAAGTCCAGAAATACACTATTGTCATGGAGGCCAAAGTGTTATAACATAAATGAGTTCCAGAGTTGCCAACTTTTCTGATAAATCTCTAGTACCTCAGGTCAATTTTTAGTTTTCCTGTAAAGTTCAGCTTCTAAACCCAGCTGGGATGGAATCATAAATTTAATTGAAAGGGAAGCAAAATTTCAGCCCCCAGGACTACAGAGAAGAATTTACTAACATGACGCAAGTATTCAAAAAGCCAATGCAATCAGAAAGTGAATTAAACAACATCACATGTCATATAAACTTGTGCATGCCTCATGTTTTCTGAATGATTGCATTTACAGTTACAGGGACTTTTTGCAACACCACTTATTTTACAAGTCTGATATGGAAAAAGTTAAGTGTATTATTAAGTGGCTTCTGGTTTCTCAACTGTGGCTTTAGTTGCTTAATGCCCAAGCCATTTAAGATGTTTTCCATCTCTCTTTCCATCCTTGCAACTGGGGCCACAGACTGCTCATGGTTCTCCTGGGCATTTGGTTCCCCATCTGTCTCAGTGAAACTGCTTGCAGTGCAGAAGTATCAGCAGAGCAGCTTCTGCCCCCAAGGAAAATGTCTGTGGCACTGTATACAGAGGTAAACATCCAAGGGACTAGTTTAGAAATTTGGGTATTAGTATCCCTTTAGTTAAGTCCTGAACAAGGGTGATGGGAAGAGCTTTCAAACTAAGAGATTCTCGTGGAAGGCTGCTGTCAATTATCCAGAAACTGAGTAGAGAAGTGCTATTACTTTCATTAGCACTGCCAATCACTGTGAGGGCAAAGCATTTAAGAGATAATACCATTCATAGATCAGAATAACAGGGCAGAACTAGGAAAACTATAAATTTTTAATTCTACAATTTCTGCAGTACTGGAGAAGAAATGTGGAAAAGAGGAAATATGCCTCTTTGATTTGCGACAAGAAAATACACTGATGATATATCGGGCAAATTCTGCATGATATTGCTTACAGATTATTTTTACATTCCCAGCCTTGAAATTTCAATCAGCATTTTTTTAGATGCTGATGCCTCAAGGGCAGCAGTCTGTGTCTGTTCAATGTTGGTCTTTAATGGGAAACTTTGGTTCCTGCATGACAATAAGCTGACAATGATTTTAAAGAAATATATGCAGCACTGCCCCAGCGTGAAAGAGGGGTCTAACCTCTCAACCACAAAAGGGTCTTTCTATCTGTCATTTTATTAAGAGGAAGTTGAACACTGGTTACATGTTGTCATACTCACAGCTAACTGATTTCCAAACTGGCTTCTGCCCAGGAAGCTGGATACCATTAGGAGATACTGGTGACACTGGAACTGTCTCAAATGTGGGCTGATAGGCAAGGAAAAATGATCAGACTGCAGTGAATGCAAAGATCTACGGACAGAAACTGCTACAGTTCAAGCAACAGTGCATCATTCTCAGCTTACACTCTCTTGACAAGATAAAACAACCTGTTGTGATTCTTCAGAGTACATTTTTCATAGCCAAGCCTGAGAATCAATCTTCCCCACACTGCACAGATTTGGACTGTCTGGAGGTCAGTAATATTGCAGCTTGCTGTACATAATGAGCCCTGTCCTATAAAATGACTGAAATTAGCTTAGTAAATTGCTGTAAAGAATAAGGCTAACTGAAAGGTCCTCCTCAAATTGTAATTCATCCTGGCTTTAATAATTTTGGCCACAAATCTTTTTGAAGACTCTCTCCAGCACGTGTTGAGTACCTGCTATTCCTAGGGACCTGTCAAAAATCAGTCAGTCTGCTACCTCTTGTGATTTGGGCACCAAGAAGTTATTACAGTATGGATGTCCCTCCCATAGGTTATACACTAATACTTTTATCAGTGAACTTCAAAAAACAATTTGAGGGAACAAAGAAACATTTTCTATATTAAAATGAATTTCTTTCTTCTCCAGAAATCATTCTGCACTGCAGAGAAATGGCTTGGCAGCCCAGGGGGTGACATTCAAGCAGTGTCACCTCTTCTTAGCAGGGGAATTTTGGCCTTGTCCTCAGCAGTTTTGTAAAAAGACAGAAAGAGTGTTCGCGTTCATGGGCAACAGTGGCTCAACTATTTGCTCTCGAGCTAAAAAAAAAACCAAACAAAAACAAGGTCAGGAATTATCAAAGTCCTCTGAAGGTTACTCAGTGAAAATAACTACAATGTTCCAAACCCATTTTATATTTTTCTCCACTGTTATTTGGATCCTTATGGGAGCCCCTGAAGCCCCCAGCCTTTCTCAAACCTGCAGTTTCACACAGCCCAGGCCTGATGGATCAGACCCAGTTTTCCAGCTGAACCTGCAGCTGTAGGCCCCCACGAGCCCTTAATACCAGCTCTTTAAATTTCTCTTTAAATTGCTAAGTCGGCTGTTTATCAACAAGTAGCAACGCCTCAGGGCAGAAATTCTGTTTCCCCCAGTTGTAGTCAATGTGTGGGAGAAACGTTCAGGCTGTTAAAAAATGTCAGATATTTAAAAGACAGGCAGCTCTTCCAATTGGAAGCCTGAAAATAACATTGCAGTTGTTTTATTCAATCTTATCCTCTGAGCTATTCGGGTAACAAAGTCAAATGTAATATGAATAAAATCTCTCCTGAGAGAATCCATTCAATGGCTGGTGAACTTGATAGCAAACAGACTGTAGGGACCATTGATTTTTTTAAAAAAGATAACTGGATACTTTTATGAGAAAATCCCACAACATTTACACAAAAAAGCTTCAGGACATAAAAAAGCACTATAAATTTTAGGTGGGAGTATAGAAGTGGAGAAGATGGCTAAACTTGCCTCAGCAATTTGGGAAAATCTACATAAAAGTAGTTATGCTTCTGCTTAAGATCCAGATGGAGAAATTAATGGTAAATATTAGCAACTGGCTTACCTACTTTCAGTGCTCAAAATGTCTGACCCTGTGAACAATATTCAGAACAGATTTACAGTCAGTCAAGTTTATGAAGAAAAAAACTGCTTCCAGCCTTGTTACATGGGTGAAATGAGTCGTGAAGCACCTGCAGCAACCTGGCTCTGATAAGCAGGGCCGAGCTGGCAGACACAGATATGGAAGATGGAGTGGACAGCACACCTCTGCCTGGCACCCAGCAGGGCTGGCAGCAGGCTGCCCTAGCCTGGGGAATTGAATAATGTGAACTGTGCACAATAACTGGGGTACCTGAAAATGTCCTATTCTCAGTCCCATTTCCCAGCCTCCACAGTGAAGTGTTTAATGAATCCAAACCTATGTCTCTTTTGTGAAAACGTCTTCCTTCCCCCCCACTTTTACTTTTTTAATGGTAGGAAGTCTGGGAATAAAACCTTTTCAATGCATGAATTTAAAGATCCAGATCATTTCTGTAGCGTAAAAGAAAATTAAATAACTTTTGAAGACCTTCCCTCAATGAATGTGAAAGACCAAGAGTCAAATTATGACCTTAAATAAACTGGGACAGTTTTCTTCATTTGCCTGGGGCTCCAAAGGTGAGGTTTCCCATATCCTGATTTCTGACTGAAAGTGATTAATTTGGTACACTAAAAATTAGCCCACTGTTTACTGCCACAAATACATAGGAATTTCCAATGGGAAGATGAAATCAGAAGAGCAGGGAGAGGATGGAGATGAGGTAGATAGACAATTCTTTAGTAGCTACTCTCATTGTAGAAGATGTAAAACCAAATCGTTGGAGCACCATAGAGACCAAATTTTATTTCCAGCCCTGCAGCTAAAAGAAATAAAGGAAAAGGAGGATAAACGTATAGCTCTGGCCAGGAAACAGTTTGCCCATGCTTTGAATATATTCATATTTCCAAGCACTGCCATCACAAACACCTTTTCACGCAAATAGCTTTGGGTTAGTTAGTGATTCTTCTTTAACTAGGACATGATTTTGTTATGCATTCCTGAAGTAAAATGCTTGTAAAACTCTTCAGGAGTTTTAGTTAATTGCAATGTACTGTGTTAGGCTGCTAATGAGCACAGTGCTTCACTTCCTCTCTCCACCAACAGAATCAATGTATGTGTGTCTCCCATTTGTATTACACTGCTGATTTTTCTAAGCTCTGAGCACTAGCAGAGCCGACAGCTTCTGATGGAAGCAGCAGGGTACCAGCAGTAAGGAAAATCAGGCCACTATGATTTCTAAACCGTCCAATTTAAAACTCAGTAGTGTGGCTGTGAGTTGAGTCTGCTGGCTGTAGACCTGTCTGAAGCAGAGCAAAAGCACCTCAGCTGGGACAGGCTGCTCTACTTGCCAAGGCGTGGCTCTTGTAAGAGTAATGTACCAACAGGGGTAGTATTTTGCTCCTAGTGATCATGGCACCTTTCCAGGACAGGCAACAGAAAAAAACCACAAAAAACCACAAAGTTACCAAACAAGAAGAGGAATAGCTGGATTTCCTTTTTTATTTCAGTCCATTTTGTCTGTTGAGGGGACACTCCTGCCATGAGGGCATTGACCTCAAGGCAAGACGACTGGAAAAGCACCCTTTGTCCTGTGTTGACCCATGCAGAGCCTGGCCACTAGGCAGTAGTAGCAAAACATCTAGCAGGCAGGGTTTTTTTCAGAACAGAGAGAAAAAAAAACTAGGGCAAATCTATCTTTTTCTTCCACCACTCCAGATGACAACTAATTTATGCCTCTTTAGTGGTCCCCTAAATCTCATCTCAGGTGACCCTAGTGAGCTAATCACCTTTTCTCTCATCATTAGCCAAAGAAGAGAGTAATCCGTCCTGTGACCCATCCTTCTAGGCTCTTGTGATTCTTAGGTTGTTGGGAGAAGGGTGTAAATCCATTCTCCTAATGGGGAGGATTACAGAGTGATGTGCAACAATTAGAGCTGGTTTGCTATTTGCAGCATGTTTAGTTTACTTCTTCCCTTCTCGACTAAAAGGCAGGATGGGAAAGCAAAACTGCGTGTCATTTCAAGCAATCTTGTCCCCAGCCTCTCTTCCCCAGCTGTGATGAAAAGATTTGCCCCTCCCCACCTCCTGCCACTCTTTTCTTTTGGCTGGTTGGTTTTAATGCACTTCTCTTCCCTAAACTGATTAATCACAAAGACTCAGTGGCAGCTGTAGGGCCATGCCCAGAGAGGCAGTAAAGCTCCAGGGACTGCTGATACCCCCTTAAAAAGACTATTTGGGAAACTCTTAGGTCAGGGACACAAGCCCTTCTGAAGTGTGTTTATCCCTAAAGGGCTGATAATTAGGACAAAGTTTCTAAATCCCATAACAAGCAGCAGAGATAGGAGCACAGGTGAACAGGATAATTATAGTGTTAGGGCCTTGCAGGCTTTTAGAAATACAATGTTTCACAGTCTGTTGGACGGAGGTGGTGGTGTGCTCTGCACTTGTGTTTGGGCATCTGGGTATAACATCGAGGTCAGCACCTGCAGAACTGCATATTTTTGTGGGAAGAAGAATTAGAAGACTTAATTACTTATTTGATCTTATCTTTTAGACTATCACAATGCAGAACTAGTAAGCAAATTGAATTTTGGAGGAGGTAAAACATTGATTCGAAGGGCAGTTGCTCTGAACATCCAAATTCCTTTTGCAAGTGAGAAAATTTATCAAGTAAGAAGGGGAAAATAAGCAGTCAAAAATAAATCAATAATGAGCCCATCTGAGAGGGGATGTACAATGCTTATTTGGCTGACTGAAATTTATTAGGAAACTTAAGCTTTTGTAAAAAAAATTAAACACCTTATGGTTTACAGATACTTGAATCAGGAGAAGTGAGCTAATCTAATCAGAAGTACCATCAACTTTTTAATGTTTGTGCAAACATGCCTGGTATCTCTCATGGAAGAAAGTCTGCCCACAGGAAACTACTGGATGCTTCTAGATGTATTTGTGGGATATGCACAAGTGGTTCAAAAGAATCCAGATATTTAATTTAGAAACAAATAGGTTAACTATTTGGACAGTATATCTTTGTAATTTTAATGTAACTATGCAGCTACAATTTTGTTCCTTTTTTTTTTTTTTTTTAATAATCCAGGTTATCAAGGCCTTGGGGAGATGGTAGAACAAACAGGAAAGGACAAAGCAATGCCATAATGAAAAATAGTTTCTTGGGGTTTTATAATGGCAGTAATTTTAATATTAATTTCAAAAGTGAGCTTGTGATCTTATTGGTGACTTCCATTTAAGATATCCTGAGTGATAAACGTAAAATCACGAGTGTTGCTTTGAACAGTGGACTAAGCTCACACAGCTGACAGCGTTCACAAGAATCAAAGCATGCCCTGACAGGAACCCGTGCGTTCAGAGCTATCCTCAGGGAAAAGTGGATGAAACCTCCAGAGGTACTGCTGATTTCTGAAGCCATGAAGCAAATGAACAGTTAATAGGTTTTCATTTGCTGTGTAAGTGAAATGTAACTGCCAGTGTACAAGTTACAATCATGCTGGCAGGTGTTTAATTGCTTATGCATGTTTGAACCCCAGTTGCTTCATTAGACAAGTTTTACTTCACCACTGAGACTGATGAGTAAATAGCAAGTGTCCCCAGAAGCCATCAAAAATTTGAATAGCTGCCAGGAGTAACCCACCAATTTCCAAAATATAAGGGAGCAAATGCTAGTCCTGACAGGAGGCTGTGGGAGGAAGGCTGGCAACAGATACAACTTTATGTTACAGGTTAGTTACAGAACTGTGTACCATTGTGTTTGGTTTCTTCCTTTCCTCTCAAATGTACTGTATACTGCATTAAAAATCTGGTCTTAGGATCAGAAACTGCTAGTGGCTGTCTGTGCATTGTCAGCAGGAAAGGGTTCCTGTCTGGCAGAAACTTTGGTGAGCTACTTGCAAATTGCATAAAGATTAAGATCAAAGGCATGCACGGGGATACTTACAGAAGAGTCACTGGTGCCAAAGATGTCTCGCACATCCCGGACTGTGTGCTTGTTCTTCTTCCTCAGGGTCTGAGTGTAGGTGTTGTACCTCTTCTGTACAGCAGCAGCTTGAGTTCTGGTCAGAGTGGACAGCAGGGCTTGGCCATCCTCCTCCTCAGCTCCTGAGATCAACGTAGATAAACCTACATCTTGCAGCCATTCTGCCTCCAGTTCCCCTTCTGTGAAGGAAGAGAGTGTGTTAATAAGCCTGCCAAGAAGGAAGGGAGAGGGGGCTGAAGGAAAAGAGTTGGCATGATGGACTGCTGCCACAGTCTTTACCTTGAGAATACTCTAATTCCAACCTTTCTTAGGCCACAAGTGCAAGTTCAATCAGTTTTGTAAACATATTGTCAACTTTCAGTTCGTCAGTGTCTGCACAAGTGAGGCTTATGAGGAGAACAGAAGAGGCATTTCATCAGCATGTGTATGTGAAGAAGGCAGCAGTGTAACCAGCCTAACAAAGCAAGGTCCCTAAAAATTAACCACTAATTCAAAAGCATAAATCCCCTCAGTTACCATTTATGCCACGCTCACCATTTGTAGCATGGTGTACTGGAGAAAGCCATTTGGCTGATGGAAATAAAATCAGTATTCCAATTCAAATAAACAGAAATACTGGAGGTGTGTATACAACAGAATAATGTATTTGCACACTAATGATGCAATTTCAGACTCCAGAGGGTTGGCTGGGAGACAGCCACTGAAGAAGCCAGACTGAGAGAAGGGTGATGTCCACCTAGTCCAATTGCTTGTTTTGAACAATATGATTCAGACCAGAGCTGCTCACTAAAGAACAAGGGTGAGATAGGGCTAGGTGTCTAAGAGGGAAAGAAGGTGCAGAAATAGCCATCCTTGCATGCTAGGTATCATCCTGACTTCTAATTTTAAAAGACTTGCTAGCACTGTACACTCCAGTGTTTTTTGGTATCTCAGTTAGTGACTACTACCTTCTTTAATCTGTTCAATACGTGCTTCCCAACCGGTTCAATACTGCAATTGGTTCCATAGTGAGGTTATGCATTGTGGGAAGAATTCTTTTCTATCCTGGCTCTACTGGACATGGTGGAAACTTCTGGCATCTTTTCACAGAGCCACACCCGCAGTCCCCTAACTACCAAAACCTGCCCATGTGAAGACAATATAGGTTTTCAGCTTGCTACCTGTTACCTGAAATGAATATGCCCTGTCATTATCTAACTGTGAGAAGGTCCCAATCTACCTTCTTTGAATCATTCAGTAATTTTAAATATTGCTGTCATTGCTTCTTGATTTGTCTTATTTTTAAAATAAGCAAAGTCTTTTAAAATCTCTCTTCACGTAGGAGACTTTGAGGTCCTTAATTTCAGTTTTGTGAGCAATCCTAGCTCAGCAGTAAGCTGCTTGACACAAGACAGTAATTTCATTCTGGCCCTGACTGAAGAAGAGGTATTACAAATAAACATGTCAAACAGGAAATGGATTAATTTGCAGAATGTTTTATAAAACAACTTGTCAATGCACTTATTGTTCTTGTCCCAGAGCCAGTCTTAATGACAGGTTGGTATTTCCACTCTCCCTTTATTGCCTCTTCTTGACATCAGAATGCAGGCTGATTGATGGACGCCAGTTTGCTTCGCTTTGGCAGTTAGATACACAAAAGAGAAAATTACAGGACTGGGCTGTAGGGACAAGCAAAAGCATCTTATGCATGTGCCATCACTGACTTCATTGTTAACTGCCCTGCCTCTTTACAAAGCACTACAAAAATAGCTGCTTCTAAACCCCTTGCTCTGTGTTAGCCAGGGGTATGACCAGCCCTGTATCCCATGAAATAGCTTGTCTCTGCTCTTTTCCTTTCTGTATCCACAGACAGGATGACAGACTGTTCCTTTTCTTTGTCTGTAAGCTTTGAATCAGTGGTTCTTCTGCCATTTTCACTTTTTTTTCTAAGGTCTCTTTCTTGTGAGCTGCAGTTGGAGCCACATCTGTCCATGTTTCAGCTTTTAAATTATATTAATTTTGGCTTTTGTCCTGACATATTCTTTCCAAGAATTGAGCTTGTAATCAAACCTGCTATGAAAAATAGCATGGCAGACATTAAATTCTGCCTGCTTACTAGTCACCCTGTGACTTGTTTTCTCTGGCTTTTCCCTTTTCCTGTTCCAACCACACACAAACAATAGACTAAGAAATAACAGCACCAATCAGAGAAGTAAAACTATTAAAGAGAAGAAATTTACACATTAAAAAATGCTCAAAAATTTATGACATGTTGGTATTAAATTAAGGTTAACCCCCACACCCCCGGATGTTGTTTTAGAAAGCATTATTTTTATAGTGGTAGCTACTCATCCAGCAGGGTCTTGATACTGTATTTGATTCTACTCCACGAGAAGACAGATAATTTTGAAAGGGTGATTCTCTTTTTCTCATAGAGTTTCCTAGGAAAGAGGCATGTCTTGCTTTGATATAACCTTAAATAACTCACAGCATTCAAGCCTTGTAACAAAAGTTGTAAAGCAATTCTTCACAGCATGGGCATCTTAAATACACCATGACTTTCTCCTCCCCTACATTTTATCCCTTGTGTCACTTGTCATGATCTTCTGTTCTTTTCTGACTATATTTGCTAGCATCAACAGAATAAGTGTGCTGTTGTCTGCCCTTTGCACATGATGTCTGGCAAATCACATTGAGGTTTTGACAGTCGTGCCTGCCTGGCTTCTATCACCCTTTGGCCTCCTTCTTAAGGATCTTCATCTCCTCCTCTCAAAGACATCTCAAAAGGGTGATGAATATTTGCTTTTATTTTGCCCTGAGGGTTTCCACATTGATTTTTTAGAGTTTTGATCATTGGCGAGGAGTATTATCCTATTAGGACCTTAATAGAACTCACTATTATTTCCAAGATTTATAATCCCAGACTGAATATATTCCTGATGTTAATAACCAGGACAAACACTGCCTGATTGTGTGTGGGTGTATGCAATACATATATATGTGTTTAAGACAACAATATGAAGGTAAATGAAGTGTGGAGATGTACTGCATTTTGACTTGCAGTCTCATTTTTAATTCAGGGCAGAGGGCAAAAAATCAATGTGATGTAATGAGGTGTATTCAGACAAAGGGTAACACGGGACTGCAGCAGAGTTTGGGCGGTTGAGAAGATTTAGTTCAGCAGTGATGAAACTGATGGGAAAGTTTCTGGAAAATAAGCTCCTGTATTGCCTTGTCCTACTAAGTTATCCAGCTTGGCAGCTCAGAGATTTGTGTTATTCCCCTGACTGCCAGACAAGTCAGGGACACCTGTTAGTTCAGTGCTGGCAATTGCGTGGAGGAGCCACCGAGACTCACAATCTCTTTATGGAGTCTCCAAGCTAAAGAGTATGATCAGACAGGAGTTTTCCCAAGAAGGAACAGAGGAGTGCAGTTTGGATTTAAGCTGACTGACCATAACTTTCACAGCAGACCAAGATTTTTGGTGAACTGGTCTTCTCCCTTTGCTTCCAGGAGAGCCCAGCTGGAAACTAGTGAATGGGAGATGTTTTCCATGGAAGTAGTACATGGTTGGAGCTAGATACCTCTGCATGGGTTACTGGTTGTGCATTTGATTGCTCAATAAAGTAGTACTTTCCACCATTCTTCCTGGTAGCAGAATTAATGACATCCCTTTGCACGTCAAGGTAGAAAAAATATATCATCACTTGTGTTAATAATTGTATGCAAAGAACACGACATCGTTTCAAAATCTATCCCTACATCAGTTGTTACCAGAGCAGTGGCCAGGAGCCACTGAAGGGTTGCAGCAGTTATCAGCAGGTCACGACCTCAGAAGAAATTTGGTTTCATTGTATAGTAACACCAGGTATTTTGTGTTACACAATATAATGCATTTGTGACTGGGGTCCAAACTGGGAAAAAAAAGAGAAACGCTGTTCTTGATGTTATCAAATCATCTAACACAAAGCTGCATTGCAGCAAGCTAGCACATATTGCATGCTTTTCCAAATACAGTACCTAACAAGAGAGAGGAAAACATTAAGGTAACAGAATGAGGCAATAATTCCTTCAGGATACATTGTGTAAGTGATGAATTAATTTGTTCAAGTGGGGAGTCTGAACAATGTAGGCATCCCTACATTCAGACTTATCTCTAAACTCCCCTTGAATGATATCTTAATTGGGCAATCTCAGAGAAACAGGCAGATATCAAATTCCTGGTAGCAGAAAATGACATCTAACCAAAAACTGCTTCAAGACTTGAATAGTTTCTGAATCCTATCCTACTAAAAGCCAGAAAGTTTAAAAAAGTTGATTTTCCCAGCATACTAAATTCAAATTTTGCTACTTTAAATATTTTGATTTAGTCTATTTAATGCTGGAAACTTAGATTTCATTGAGGGCCATTCTTTTCTGAATTACACTGTATCTGTTCTCCTGAAGCACAAATAAAAGCAATGCAACGAAACTAACTTAGAAGTTAATGACTGGCTCCAGTGCATAAACCAGACCATTATTGTTTCTTGTCAGTGATTGGCTGTGATGCTCAGATAGACCCAGCCTAGTACTTCTGCTCAGACTGAGTGACACGAGGAAGGAGATCAGGGCATGACCCTTTAGAGAGGAGGCAAAGCCAGGGTATGAGGAATAAGTGGTGTTCATGTGCTCACCATCAGCAGGTTTGAACTCCAAGAGCATTGCTTCTTCAGATCCATCTTCTCTGCTCTCCTTGATGCTCTCTACTTCACACCAGAAGTCCTCCATGGAAGTGCTGTCCATGGAGGCCTGCGAGTTGGAGCGACTGAAGGCAGGAGGTACTGACTCGTTGGAAAGCATCCTGTTAATTCTTCGACGAGAGAGAGACTTTCTGAAAAGAGAAAGCAATGCAAATAAAATCATCTTTCTATCATGCTAACTTGTGCCATGCAAATGGAGCAGGCAACCAGTGTGTGACCTGTGACTGTACCAGAAAAGTAGGGAACAAGATTTCAGAGGCCAAGTACACTGTTCTGATAATTGTTGTGATCTCTGTTGTTCCAACAATTACAGCTGGACATGTATTTTGCATCTAATAATTTATCTCTTTAATGTCCTTCAGTATTTCATACTCTAGAGGGAACTCAGGAAATGCCATTTCTATTTCCATTCCTGGTATCCATCTAAAGAGACACTGGAAAACTATTTTCACTTCTTTTTGCCTCAGTTTCTCTTTCTATCCCTTCCTGTTTTGCTTACTGGCTGAAATGCTTCCCTGAAAACTTCTCTGGAGAAAAATAATGAGATTCAGGAACCCTGAAATATCTTACAAACTCATTTTCACTCCAAAAAAGAATTAAAAACTTGAAAGATTTTAATTTGGAAAAATAATTACTTTTTATTTGAAAATCCATTAAAAAAGATTTTTTTAAAAGTTAAAATAATTTTAAACAAAATTTGACCTTGAATTAAAATAGTATGTTCTAGATCAAACAAAGGTTTTGATCACAGGTTTAAAAAAATTATGATTCACTAAAAAACAAGTTTCAAGTTAAGATTCAATACAAGGATTGAATTAAAACAAAGTTTGTTTGCTTATTCTTTTGTTCTTGTCTTTTCCCCGTCTCAGTACTTGCAGCCGAAGAGAGTTATAACACATTCAAAATCTCACATCTACCACAAAAATCATCTGTCTTTGCTCTTTTGCATTATTATGGCTGTAATATTGTAAACAGCTTTTGTATCTATAACTGCAGTAGATACGGTAATCAGTAGTAATAACCACAACAATATTTGTACAAAGGAGTTAGGAGGTAACACGATTTTGGCAGAGAGTTAGACCATAGGAATTAATGGAAAATTCTGACATAAGGTTTTCTGACCTTCGCTTATCTGAATTAATTCAAATGCAGTTTCCCTTTCTCTTCCTTTTCGGTATAGCATGATCCTGCAAACATGCCTTTGTTTAAAACCACAGGCATCACTTTTACTCCACTAAAAAAAGGTATTTCCTTTTCAGCGTTTCCCTCCCTATCAAAATTTTCCTAATGGATGCATAAACAATGTATTATTTCATAAAGCTGACTGAGCATGCTTCTCCCTCCTTGTGCTGCTGCTTCATCCTTCCCTGCCAGTGAAGGGCTGGATGCTTCCCTGGGGCTTGCAGAGCCTCCTCACTTTATCTGGGCAGGTCCTTCTGGGCTAGGTCTGAGCCCCAGGCTGGGGAGCTGTGGTGGAAACAACAGAGCACAACAAATCCAGCTTTGGACATGATCAGGCTTCATGAAAGGCAAAGTTCAGGCCTTTTTGAACACTCATAGGTATAATATGGATGACTCATCTGCCAAATCAGCCCCTCTGCTCTTGGAAGAAAAACTGGGAAGCAAAACTTTCTAATGAGTGACAACATTGCAGCAGGAGAGAACGTGCTATTCGGTGGTGGAGACGTTCTCTGGGAAAAGTGCTGTCTTCAGAGTTTCTCTCCACTTCTCCCCTCATAAACAGATTGTTTTCTTTAAAACACAGTGCTGAAACTGTTATTGTTTTAATTAGAGCAAGCCACAGTCACCAAATGCGAGAGGAATTTGTGACACAAGTGTGGTTAAAATGCTTTCCTTGTAGCTCTCCCTCTGGGGAGATGTGAGTTTCAGTCGGCTTTTGCTCCCAAAGCCTCACATGGCTGAGGAGCTGATAAATTATAATCTCTGGCTGATAAATTATAATCTCTGGAATTATGCATCGGGGCATGTCGGCCTCTCGGGGTTTTGTATGGATTTCCCTTTCTTTTATGGATTCATCTATGTCTCTTCCTCAAATTAGCAAGTAAGAGAAATGCAAGGATCACTGGACTTAATATGATGAGTTAATACTGTACCAAGCATCCCCAAGGAGAGGTTTTAACAAGCAGTAGCAGAACGCCTGAGAAGCAGCAAGAAAACCCCATCTCTTCAGCTGGGATGGGGCAAACAGCACCCACCAAGCAATTGCTTGTTGCTGTGGAAACCTGAGCTCTCTTGTTTAAAAGGTGATAGTGAACACAAATAAGGGAAAAGGCAAAACTACCTGGTACTCTAATGATGTTTGGGGGCCCCCAAATATCAAATATCACTGGATATTGTGCAAACAGAGGAGATGCCAAGGCCTGCTGTCTGTCCTCCTGCCACAGCTTTTCCTTCACCAGCCTCCTCTTCAGCTTGGGGGGTGAGACCCTGCTCACTGAGAAATTCATGTTCCTGCTTCATATAAACCTTTGTGAAAAGTAAGTCCCTAAACATGAACAGCCCAGAGCTCCCGAGCCAGCAATTGCAGGAAAGAATGCTCTCACCATTCTGGAATTAAACACGAGCTGGGACGAGAAGAGGGCATCCCTGATAGCATCACTGGCTCCCATCATTTAGTCATGGTCAGGGAATTTAAACATTTCCTGCCCTCCCAGTGTGAATCTTGACCACGACTTTTGTGCTCTTCAGGCGCCACACCACACTGATCTTTGGGCTTCAACCTCATCAGCACTTCAGCTGGCTCAGACCAAGGCTTTTTATTTCACCATATTAGGAAGAAAGAGGATTGGTAGGTTGCTGCTTATTTTGTAATACTACCATACCAAAAAGCTAAATGCAAAATAGACCACGCAGAACAGGAACAACTGCTGTGGCAACCAGCTTTGCCTAAATATGTCTAAGGTTCCAGTGTAATTAATGTGCATTTACAACAATATTACAAGTATTGAGCTTATTTGGAAAATCAGCTGAACAAAGTCTCCTGAGAACTTCATATTTGAGGCTTCTTATCTCAACCCAAATTAAATCAAGCTGTGTAAAATTCCTGTAACAAGAAAGGTTAGGCAGAGGTCCTTTATCCTTATTGGTAAACATCTGAAGCTTGCTTCCAGGTGGTCTGGTACAAATCTTCTCCAATTATTCTGAGTCTGCCTATTAAAAGCTCATGTGTTTGAAAGACTTCCAGCTGCTGTTTTGACCCATATACCTGTGACTTTTGTCCTGGAGGAAGTGGTCTTGCCTTTATGTGATAATGGCAGTTGTCTCCCATTTCCTCCAGCCAAAGCTGCTCAAAACAGTTTCAGGAAAAAAAACCCTACTGAGGAAGCAAAGCATATTCTCCACTGCTTTTAATTAATTCTTGAAGGACACTGTAAGAGCACTGACTCAGCAATCTGCCTGTCTGTCTCAGAAATAGCTTAAGAAGCCCAGGTTGCCTGTTACCTGGGAACTCTTGCAACAGAAAACCTCTGTTCCCGACACCTTTTTCACCCTCAAGCTGTCCTTTTTTCTTGGTCTTTTTTTCTCACTGTCTGAAGAGAAGTTTAGAACAATAAAAAGTTTTCACTAGGCTGATTCTGCTGTTCCTACAGAAAAGTTGTAAACCAGTCCTGTTAAGTAAGCAGTGATCACAAAGTTCATAGTAAGTTTATTTTGTTCCCTCACTACACACATGGGTAGTAGTAAGCTAATCTGAAATGCTGATTAAATTAAACACAGAAGGGATCTCAGATGCTGGCTTCCTCGATGGAAAATGTTGAGAGAGGAGTATGAACCTGAAAGCACTGAGAAAAAATTATAGCAACTCCACTGGATGAGCTGAAATGTTTTTCAGGATGGAATTAAATAAAAATGAAAAGCTACATAAAACACTGAGAAAGGAAAGAAAAAGAAGGAAAAAGTATATAAGAACTAATGTTATCAGAGAACTTGTCTATTATTGGATATTCACAGGAGAAAGAGTTAAAGAGTGTCAGGAAGGAGAAATATGATATCATTTATAAAGCTTTCTGTGGAAAGACTATTGCAGGGAAGGAGGGTATTTCCATGGGGCACTAGAAAGCTGATTCAACTGTGTTTGACTTTGGTTTTGGCCGGGTGTATGTTTATAATGCTGATTAAATGCAACAGCTGAACAGGCCTCTTGACCCTATATTTTATCTTCCATATGTACTGCAGCAGTGTGCTGTTCAGGACCTGATACCACCTATTGATTTCAGACAGCCAAGCCAGATTCAATAAACTGTTCTTACCCTATCCTCAAAGTAAAGGTTTGTTAAGCCACATAAAGAGCTGGCTCAGTGACACTTAATGATTGCTCAAAGACTCAGTAATGATAAAGCCAGGCTTGTATTTTGAGTTTAATTAAAAGATGGTAAAGAATCCATAAAACAAACGGGAGCAATAGAGCCATCTTGTAGTTAAAAACAGCATTTAATCGTTGATTACACAGAGAGAAAGGACATCTTATTCTTGTGGGCTGTTATCCTTCATTTCATTTGATGGGTCCTGAACCTGCTTGACCACAATTAGTCACATTTATAAGAATGGGAAAGGTGAAGGAAGCAAATTGTCCTGGTCATTGTAGGATAATGATCCACCTTTTCACACTGCAATCATTCTATCAGTATAACCACTTGTTCAGCTTTTCCCAAATGTAAAAAAAGGGACGGTAGCTTGCATTGACAGGGAAAGAAAAAAATTTATTCCTCTTTATTAAGAACTGTTCTGAATGGTTAGCAGTCATGTACCATTATATCTCTTTCTTCTAAATAAAATGTATACAAATTCCAGGCAAAGGAAGAGACTAGCAATGGGAAATAGCATTTTTGTGCACAGTTCACTCTTGATCCAAATCTCTCATCTTCTGGTTCCTTCCTGGTGACCTTGTTCCTGCACTGTTTGTGGTCTGCTTATTTCCTTCTCCCCATGGTTCATGGCTTCTGATCACAGAGAAGGGTATATATCAGATATTATTCCCCCAACCCCATCTATACACGTCTGTTTCTGATTATCTTGCAGATGTTAGGCAAGTTGTAGACAGTGGATGCTAAAGCTTCCTTGTCCTCTCTCTAGCATCTGGTAAAGCAAATATTTAAACTATCAGGCTCAC